GGACAATTATATTGCTTATTTTGTTTTATAAGACATAAAACTGACCAAGTATCTCCTTCCAATAAAAGGAATTGCCTTTTTGTTGTTTGAAAGAAAGAATCTTGAAATAATATTTACTAAATCCTCTAAAAGGGAATGCCTTGTCATTTCCAATATGGAATAGGAAGGATCTTGTTTGTTTCTATCACAAATCCTCCACTCCATTTAGTTTCAAAAAAATACTATATAATAGACTTTGCAAATTGGCAATGTCCCTTTCAACATCACTCTAAATAAATTACCAACACATGGAGGTAGTGCAGCGGATGAGATTGTTTTCTTAATCAGATGTCTTGTATTTGAATCTAAATATGAAAAAGTCTTTGGTAAGGAGCGCTTCCCCCCGAATGGGGTCTACGCGGCGCGAATTCGAAATAATCGGACTCCAATATGGACACCAAACATCGAAGGGAAAATAAAAATAAAAAATCACTCTAAATAAATTGCTTTAACCATAGTTTAATGAAAAGGCGGTTGAAACATTTGGCTCCACTAGACTCTACTTCTCTAGTACTACAATATATGTTCATTGTTTTCATCCTTGTTGTATCTCTTATACTCTATTAGCTACTAATTAAATAATTAGCATTGCATAAAGCTAGAGTTAATAGCCATCTAATTAAGTATGTATGTTAATTGCTAACAACTAACCAACTTGCTATTATATTATAAAGTAAAGTATTAAGTCAGAGGGGGACCTAGAACTTGAGCAGTATGATATTATAATCTACGTGTACACCTTTAGCCTCCAAATATCTTCATAAGAATAAAAATTAGCCATAAATTATCAAAAAATTATATTAATTACAAGCAAATTAGCGACAAATTTCATGAAAATTCCAATGTAGTGAACTTTATAAATGACCCCACACAACCATACCCCTAGCATTGAAAGAAAAAAGCTACTTTTAGGTGTAGGGTCTTCACGCGTGATTGAATATTAAGAGTGTGAAGTGAATGATTGAGTAAACAAATAAAGTTAAAACTATAGAATTAACATGCATGCACTTATGTTTTCAAGTTGTAGCAAGCTAACTGTTTCAATTTTTTAATTATTATTTATAGTATGACTTTTGTGATAAAAGGATATGATTTTGTATTGAAGGAGTTTATTTTATTATTATAGCTATTGTCAAATTTATTATTGAATAAAATTATGGAGTCCTCCAAAAATAATTTGTTTTACTAAATAACTAAATAGTATTACTAAAGAGGAGAAGATAGAAGGAGGCTAGTCCTCTGACTCTTTCATATAAAGTGCACTAATCTTCTATCTTATACCTTCACCTCCATATATATCTTTCTATCGAAGATCATGTCTTCATTCAATTGAAGTTATGTCTTGTCTTGTCTAATCATTTTTTTGTAAATTATGGCCTTAGTCAACTGAAACTACGGCATATCCTATTTAATCACGTCTTTTAAATTATGTCCTCAATTAGTTGAAATTATGTCATATTCTATTTAATCACCTTTTTCAAATTTATCCTTAATCAATTGAAATTATGTCATACCATGTTCAATCATCTTTTCAATTTTTTCGTGCCAAATTACTGATAGCAAATGTAACCCAAATAATAGATCTAATTTTTAGATTTTCTAATAAAATTTGCGTTGAATTACTATTCATCAATTGACGGTTGTATAATTTAATACTACTAATATTTAATTGTTTCATGCAATACCTATCTAAAGGATTTGTGGGGCGCAAGCGCAATTGAAAACTAGAAAGTTGTTTGTTGACTCTTACAACAATTTATGAACTTTTGATTGAGATGTATTGTATCATGGACCATGTTTGTAACTTTTCAATAGTTTGACTTCATATAAATCTATCTATACATATATCAATTTTAAACAATATGGTTATGGAGGCCCCTTGATTTTATTATCATTGACTTTTTCCCAATAGAATATTAATTAATATTTGTTGTTGTTGACTTCAACAAGACAAATACTTTTTTTGGTGTGCCAAGCACATATAGGAGATATACAAAAAGTGATCTAAGTTCTAAAAAAAGCTCTAGGACCAAGTCAAATTCGAAACTAACGATAAATTAAAGTTTCAAACAAGCCATACATAATTTAACTTCAAAGAGTCCAAATTTCTAAATGAATTAGGCAATGGATAATTTATTAGATTACTTATCTTTTGAGTTTGATTTCGAAACACAAGATACTATATGTTCATTTAGATATTCAGACTAAAGTTATGAACATTTTACTAAACAATGTGTTAGAGCAAAGCATGTGGCCAAGAACATTTCACAACTCACTAACACAAGAATTATTCCTATCGATGTACTTTATATATTCCACAACTTCGACATATCGCATCTATGTATAAACGAGATATCCAACAACAAGAAAAATTGAATAGAGGAACTTCATAGTATTGACTTTTCTTTATTTATTTATTTATTTTATTTGCATTCTTTAAATTGTGGAATTATTTGATGTAATCAAAAGAAGGGATGATGCTATAAATATTTTATTTCAAATGTGTCCTAGACGTGTGTATTTATGACAAATAATTAATGAAACAAATTGGTTTGCAGACAGGTATCTTTCTCACATCAAAACTTTATGAGTTCCTTTAGTGTTTTTTTTTAATTGGTAGAGTACTATTTTCTTTAACTTCCTAGAACCACTTATGACCCTCAAGTTGATGCTATATTGGGAAATGAATTATGGGGTTTTGTTGTTTTTTTGTCAAGGGCCAGAAAGCCCACTTTTAGCCGTGTGGAATAATGGTATATAGTGACTTCTTTTAAAGTTCAAGTTGACAATCCAACGTGTGATTTTATCTCGTTATTTAAAATTAAGAGATGAAATTAATGTTTCTAATTTCATATCATGAGAAAAATTTCAATTTAAAAAAAACTTGATTTGGAAATTTTATATCATGATTTCATATATTTTAAATATAAGAATTAACTCACAAGTTTATATTTTGTAAAAACAAATCATCATACTAATTACTATATCTACGTATTTTTTGCAAGAATATCATAGGAGTGATGAAATATTTACGACATATGTACATGATGATATAATTACTAATGATTTGACCAATAAACGACTCAATCAATATAGTAAAATGCAACTCAATACTTGAGCTAGGAAAGTTATGGCAATGGAGGATTGGAGAAGTAGTGGGGATGCAGACAACATGTGAGATAACACAACTAAGCAGACTAATAAGAAAATTTATAAGGCGGCGAAGGCAAAGGTTAATTTAGTGGTTACGATAGAAAATATGATTGTTTTTTAATTAACGATTGTATATGAACTATGGGACAAAGGATGAGTTAAGAAATTGTACAGGCTTGTGAAGAGGAGAAAAAAGGAAGCCTCGAGACCTAAATTAGGTGAAGTGCATTAAGAGTGAGGAAGACAAGATATTGGTGGAAAAAACCTTCACTAAGCAAATTAGATGACAAACATACTTCCACAAACTCTTAAACACAAAAGGGAAAAAGACAATGTGTTAGGTGATTTGGAGCACGCTATTAGTAGGATGAGTAGGAAAAAGAATCGAAGACTAGACCAGATGAGATTCTAAAGGCGCTTTGCAAGAGAACTAATAGAAAATATATGGAGTGGCTAGTTGGACTGTTTAATGTCATTTTAAGACGGTACTTGAAGAATAGATATGGAGTATAATGATTTGTTGTACAAGAACAAGAGTGATAGTTAAATTATATGGTTATCAAATTTCTAAGACACACAATAAAAGTTTGAGAGAGATGGTGGAGATAAAGGTCAGAATAGGGTTTGTCCATTTTTGAGAATCAATTTAGATTCATGTCGGGACGATCAACTATAGAAGTCATCCATCTTTTGAAGGGACCACTGGAGAAATATAAGAATGAAAGAGGTATATATGTATGAAGTTCATTGACCTTGAATAGGCCTATAACAAAGTCATGATGGAAGTCCTCTGGGATGCCTAGAAGCTAGAGGTGTGCCAGTGCCTTACATTAGGGCGATAAAGTACATGTATGTGAAGACAAGATTTAAGTTAGAATGGTCGAAGGAGACTTGGAGCACTTTTCATTTGAGATGAAGTTGCACTAGGGATTAGTTCTTAGCCCATTTCTATTTTTCTTAGTAATGAATGAATTGACGTGGTATTTTCAAGATGAGGTGTCATGGTGTGTGTTATTTATGTATGATATATAATGATTATGAGACACGCTAAAAATATATTGGAATGTAAATTTAGTGATGCAATGCATTAGGAAGGCGTGGAAGTGAGGATGGTGTCCAATCAAGAACTCCCATGTTGATCAGAAAATGCAAGTTGTGGACATGAGGATGCTAAGATGGATGTGAGGGAATATTAAGATAAATAAGATTAGGAATGAGAATATCCGAGAAAAGGTGACACTGACCTTCGTGGTGGATCAGATGAGAGAAGCAAGACTAATGTGGTTTGGACATGTGAAGTAGAGATGCACAAATGCCTCTATGCATAAATGCAAGAAGTTGGATATAGTGGGTGCGATAAGAGGTAGTCGTAGGTCAAAAAATATTGGACAAAGGTGATTAGACAGTACATGACGCAACTTCAGATTATCGAGGATATGACCTTACATGGAAGGGTGTGGAGGTTGTGTATTAAAGTAGAAGGTTAGTAGGTAAGGAAATGTTGATCACTTGCAATATCTAGCTATCCTCATCTATTATTATTTATTGTGTTTTGGTTATTTTACTATTTTGTTGTTATTATTATTCTTTTCTTGTAGACATTAACGATGAATTTTATTATTTAGTTACAACTTTAATCCATAGCTAGTTTATGTTTTTTAGTATATAGTAATTTATCTACAATTATAAAGGAAGAGAACTATTTTGATGATCATAGGGGTCTTTACTTCATTCAACAACCAAAAAGATAATGATCCATGTATATCTCAACTAACTACATTATTGAATAAATGATTCAAACAAAAGAAGAGAAAAGTTATCACAGTTTTTTATAGTATTTTAGCACTTTGACTTAGTCTAGGATAGTTGTTATTTGGTCCTTAAGTTTCTCTTTTTAGTTGAAAGCACTATTGAGTTAGTGCTCTTTTTAATTCTACATTTTAGTTGAGTTGTAAGCCTATTTAAAAGGCATCATTGATGCTGAAGATAATATGAAACAGAAGCTTACAACTTACAGTTCAAGAACACTTCTTGCCTGCTAGTTATTTTTTTCCTTTCCAATATTTTTGTTCTTGAGTGAGCTTGAGATCTGTGTTCTCCAACATTTGTGGTATCAGAGCACGCTTAGATTTAGGCAACCTATTAACAGAAAAACACCATGGCTTCCAATGGAAGTTCTCTGAACATATCTCAGCCAGCCATATATACCCATTCTTACGGGACAAAGCTATCAATTATGGAGCATCAAGATGAAGACTTTATTTAAGTCTCAAGATCTTTGGGACTTGATAAAGACTGGTATGCAGATCCGGATGAAGAGCAGCGACTGAAGGAAAATCGAAAGAAGGACGTAAAGGCATTGTTCTTCCTTCAACAAGCAGTCAATGAGACAGTATTTTCCCGAATTGCAGCAGCCACCACTTCGAGGCAAGCATGGAGAATTTTACAAACAGAATTCCAAAGCTCATCAAAGGTAATAGTTGTAAAACTTCAAACTCTTCGGCATGAGTTTGAAACTTTAATGATGAAAAGAAATGAACATGTGCAAGATTTTTTGTCTAGAGCAATGGCTATTATTAGTCAAATGAGGTCATACGGAGACCAAATAACTTATCAAACTGTTGTTGAAATTTTTTTAAGGAGTTTAACTCCTAAGTTTGATCATGTTGTGGCTGCAATTGAGGAGTACAAAGATTTGTCAAAATTTTCATTCGATGAATTGATGGGTTCTTTACAAGCACATGAGGCAAGGATAAACAAGTTAACAGAAAAGCAGGAAGAAAAAACATTTCAATCTAAGGTGGAGGCACAAAATTCAAGAGATCATGAAAAGGCACCAACAGGAAGAGGACGGGGCAGAGGTGCATTTCGTGAAAATAGTCGAGGTCGAGTCAAAGTCTTTGAACAAAGACACTTCAATGAGCAAAAATGTAATAGAAGCAACAAACAATGTCATAACTGCAAGAAGTACAGGCATGTGCAAGAAGATTGCTGGTACAGGGAGAACCAAGCAAATTATGCAGAGACAACTAATGGAGAAAGTAAGTTGTCCATGGCTTGTCGTGATACTAATGAAGTTTCAGGTGATATGTGGTTTGTAGATAGCGGCTGCTCCAATCATATGTCAGGTATAAAGTCAATCTTCAATGAACTTGATGAGACACTAAACTCGACTGTTAGGCTTTGGTGATAACAACGGTCTTCAAGCTGAAGGAAAATGAATAGTAGCAATAAGAAACATCCATGGTAAAGTAAAGCTTCTTCATGATGTTCAATTTGTTCCTAGTTTGGCCCATAATTTACTGAGTGTTGGCAACTCATGACTAATGGATATTCACTTCTGTTTGATGATGGAGCATGTGTTATTAAAGAAAAAAAATCAGGACAAACAATGGTTAATGTTCTCATGGCTAAAAGCAGAATGTTTCCGCTAGAAGTTTCAAATGTGGAAAACTTTGCTTTGGTAACTGGTGCAAAAAATGACTCTGAATTGTGGCATTTAAGGTATGAGCATCTTAATTTCAAGGGGCTAAAGTTGCTAGGCGAAAAAGGTATGGTCTTTGTCTTACCAGAAATTAGTTATTTTGATTTATGCAAAGGTTGCATTTAGAAAGTTGTTTCCTGTTGGAAAGGCTTGGAGAGCATCTACTTGCCTAGAATTAGTTCATGCAGATTTGTGTGGTCCAATGAGTACTGAATCTTTTGGTGGAAGTCGATACTTTTCACTCATCACAGATAATTTCAGTCGCATGAGTTGAGTGTATTTTCTAAAATACAAATCAAAAGCTTTTGAGAATTTTAGAAAATACAAGGCACTAATGGAGAATCAAAGTGGGTTGCGCATAAAAATTTTCCGAACGGACAGAGGTGGTGAGTTCTTATCTAATGAATTTGTCTATTTTTGTGAAGAATCTGGAATTCACAAGGAACTTACTGCACCCTACACACCGGAGCAAAATGGTGTAGTTGAACGTAAGAATCGTACTGTTGTAGAGATGGCAAGAAGTTTGCTGAAAGGTAAAGGACTTCCAAATCAATACTGGGCAGAAGTAGTTGCAACCTCAGTGTACCTACTGAATCTATCACCTACAAAGGTTGTGATGAATCAAACTCCATATGAAGCTTGGAAAGGTAGAAGTCCTTAATTCAGTAAGCCATTTAAGAATTTTTTTGTTGTATTGCTTATGCTTTGGTAAACTCTCAAACTTGTCAAAAACTAGATGAAAAATCACAAAAATGTATTTTCATTGGTTATTGTCTTGAATCCAAAGCATACAGGTTATATAACTCTCTTAATGGCAAAGTGATAATTAGCAGAAATATTGTATTTGATGAAAAATCAAGTTGGAATCGAAGTGAAAAACAAATACAACAGGAGATTTTAATACCCATTGAAGACTCTCCAGATGAAGGACAAGGGTCTGATCCAAATTCACTTGAAGAAGCGATTGAACCAGAGACATTTGCAACATTTGAAGAACCTTCATCTGAGCCAATTCCACTGAGAAGATCAACAAGAGCCAGGAAAGAGAATCCTAGATATTCTAATCAATCTTGTCAATGTGCTTTTATTGTTTCATATCCTATATTTTATGAAGAAACAATTGAAAAAGAGGAGTGGAAGAATGCGATGAAGGAAAAATTGATGGCAATACAAAGAAATGAAATTTGGCAGCTCACTTACTTACCAAATTGAAAGAATGTAGTTGGATTAAAGTGTATATTCAAAACAAAGTATCACGTAGATGGAAGTGTACGGAAACACAAGGCAAGACTTGTCACAAAGGGATACTCGCAGTAGCAGGGTATTGATTTTGAAGAGACATTTTCTCTTGTTGCTCGATTTGAGACGGTAAGAACAATTTTAGCTTTGGTTGCTCAACTAAAATGGTCACTTTATCAACTTGATGTTAAGTCAGCCTTCTTGAATGGTGAACTGGAAGAGGAGGTTTATGTTTCTCAACCTCAAGGTTTTGAAATAAGTGGCAAGAGAAAAAGGTGTACCATCTGAGGAAGGCATTTTATGGGCTGAAACAAGCGCCACACGCTTGGTATAGCAAAATCAATTCCTATTTTATTCAAAATGGGTTTGAAAGGAGTGAAAGTAAGCCTACTTTATACTTAAGGAAGCGAGGTAACAATGATCTTCTTGTTGTATGCCTCTATGTTGATGATATAATTTATATGGGTTCATCTCACTCTACTGTAGCTGAATTTAAATCTAGTATGATGAGTAAATTTGAGATGACTGATTTGGATTTGTTGCATTATTTCCTTGGGCTTGAGGTGAAACAAGGAGAAGGGGAAGTATTTGTTTCTCAAAAGAAATATGCATCAGACCTTCTTAAAAGATTTGGCCTTGTCAATTGTAAATCTGCCGCAACACCCATGAATATGAATGAAAAATTGCACCAGGAAGATGGTACTGGGCAAGCCAATGCAAGAAGTTTTAGAAGTCTAGTTGGAGATTTGATTTATTTGGCTCATACTTGCCCAGATATCTCTATTTTGTTGGTGTTGTTTCAAGGTTTATGAGCAATTCATCAAAGCATCATTTTGGAGCTGCAAAAAGAATTTTACACTATGTTGTTGGAACGTTAGAATATGGTATTTCGTATTCTCATGTTTCAAATTTCAGATTGTTATGCTTTACTGACAATGATTGAGGAGGCTCGGTGGATGATAGGAAGAGTACATCAGGCAATGTGTTCAGCCTTGGATCAGGTGCAATAACATGGAGTTCGAAGAAACAAGTAACAACAACATTGTCGTCTTCAGAGGCAGAGTACATCGCAACAACTACTTCAGCTTGTCAATGCATTTGGCTTAGGAGAATTTTGGTTGATCTGAACTAGAAGCAATAGAAAACAACGGAAATTTATTGCGACAACAAATTCACAATTTCAATGGCTAACAATCCTGCATTTCATGGAAGAACAAAGCACATTGACATTCGCTTCCATTTTATTCGTGAGCTGATGGAAAAAGAAGAGATCATATTGAAATTTTGCAACACTAATGAACAAGTAGCAGATATATTCACAAAGGCACTGCCATATCAGAAACATGTTTATTTTAGATCATTGCTTGGTGTTAGCGATTTTGAATCAAGGGGGGATGTTGAATAAACGATTCAAACAAAAGAAGAGAAAAGTTACTGCAGTTTTTTATAGTATTTTACTGCACTTTGACTTAGTCTAGGATAGTTGTTATTCGGTCCTGAAGTTTCTCTTTTTAGTTGAAAGCACTATTGAGTTAGTGCCCTTTTAAATTCTGCATTTTAGTTGAGTTGTAAGCCTATATATTTAAAAGGCATCATTGATGCTGAAGATAATATGAAACAGAAGCTTACAACTTACAGTTCAAAAACACTTCTTGCCTGCTAGTTATTTTTTTCCTTTCCAATATTTAGGTTCTTGGGTGAGTTTGAGATATGTTGTTCTACAACATACATAACCTCCAAAAAAGATTTGGTCAGCAAAATTCATTAAAATTGAAAAGTAAAATAGAAGTGAAGCTTGACCAAATGCTAATGAACCCACACATAACTAACAAGAATCTACAAAAGATTATGATCTAAATTTCTGGAGCCACGTGTACCCTCTAACAGTTGGCCTCTTTTAATGTTTGTCCAATTTTTGTAGTTGTACGGCTCCTATTGTTTTTCCCACAACATGTCTGGTTACATTACATATAACTTGAAGATCGTACGCAGGATTTTACGTAAACAATGTTGTTATATATGTGTCTATGGATGGAGATAGCTGGAAGGGGTATATTCGCGAGCCCCCTTCATCGAAAGTTACAATATAATATTGAAAAACTATCTTTAACATATATATAATAGGTATTGAATTGCTTAACTTTTATATATGTCTGATAGATTCAATTTTCATTTTTTTTAGGAAGATGAATCTTTCGAATTTGGTCAATCATTAACGAATAATTCTACCACAGACACAAATAGACGGATTTGGTCAAGGCAAAAATTGTCATGGACTATGACATTGTGGCCAATCTGCCTTTACAATATTAATGTAAAGTTTAATAATTCCATGCATGAATAGAGGCAGCATTTAAGTATTTTTGACTTTATTTTTGGTTTTGTCTACCTCATACTTCATTTTAGATTATTTGGTGGTTGGGGTGGGCATGAGGGGTATGGCTAAATTCATGGCATTGCATTTGTCACCTAATTTGTTGTCTTCCCCTTTAGAAAGTTTGGTTATGGCATGACATTTATGATTGAAAAAGGTGATCCTTGTTTGATATTGTGTATTATGTCATCAAGAGAAGGCCTTGGTAGTATATTGTACACCTTAAGGCACTAATTGGGTGTCTTTTCTTGTATTATAACAAATATTAATTAGTGTAACTCTTAGGAGTTCATGATTTGGTTTAGGGGCTATATGTATTTATGCAACAATTAGTAATATGTGAAATATTATATGATGAATAATAATATGTGGATATTGATTATCTTAAGGGTCTTTCTTTTATTTGTAATTACTTTTTATACAATATTTTTCCATAATTTAAGTATATGTTACTTCCTTCTTGCTTTTGAGTCGGAGTTTATTGAATAGTGATAAAATTTGCCTTGGGTAGACGAGGGACTGAAGGGGGGGGGGGGGGGGGGAGCAATTTTCATTTGATCGATAGAATTAATCATATTTTCACTATTGTTGATTGATTATAGCCAAATATTCCCTTAAGATACTTATTCAAGATTGAACCTTACTATAACATGATAGAAGAAAGAGAGGCCACTTAAATAGTTATCTCAGTTTATTTGTTATGTTAGAAATTTAAAATAAAGATATTATTTTTATTTTGTTCTTAATAATTTTTTAAGACTATAAACATCACAATAGAGTAACTATTTAATGAAGGAAGATTATATATTTAATTGCATGATCTATCCATTAATAGGCTGGTCTTTAATTTTTGGACTTAGCCACCAAACTTATAGCTAGAGGAGAATACGTTTTTTTAAAGATGTAGTGAATAACTTGTAGAATATTATATAATGCGAAAAACTATAAACTAATTCCCCCGAAAAAATAGAGGCAGAAATGCAAAATAATCAGAGATTATAGTTTAAGATATTTTTTTAAAAAAAAAAGCATAAAAGGGAAACAATATCAATAATAATTTGAGAGGGAAGAAGTAAATAAGACAATATATTTTCAATTTTCAATTTTTACCCCATCAGGTATAAACAATAAACCTCTCGAACCAATATATAGATAGTATTCTTTTCATCTCATATTAGTTGATTGTTTTTCTTTTTACACGCATATTAAGAAATCATAAATAAGAAGATAATTTTACTTATTCACTTTTAAAAAATTTCTTCTGAATTTTACAAACAAATGTGAACACTTTTAAAAAAATTAATTGCAAGTGTAATATAGGAAAATTTTAATCATTGTTTTTTAAATTTAGTAAGGTGGACAACTAATATGGGACAATTATTTTTTGTAAAATGATCAATTAATATAAGACCAAGGGAGGATTATTTTTCAAAAGATTTGTAGAATTTTTGCTGAGAAGACATTTTTTTTTATGTGTGTTTTTAATGAATTTAATAAATGGTGATTTTTGAGTTTTGACTGCCTTTTTGTATTGAATGCAAAATGGCATTAGCTTTTCTTATTTTTCACTTCATATTTGATACATTTTTAATTATTGAAGATACTTTAGTGTACTTTTAGTTGTTAGTTCACGAGACTTGTTAAGTAATGAAAACAGTAATTACATGTGATAAGCACATACTACTAGTAGTCAAAATTGTTATTAGTAAATTCATAAATATAAAAAAATAAATACATCAAGAAATCAAGGAAATTTAACGTACATCTTTATATATACATAAAAATAATTTAATCTTATATATATAATGTTATCTTTTACTGAATAAAATTTGGATGAACCTCCTTATTCCTACGTAGCTTTTCTACTTATTACTTAACCCAAAAATATATTACAACTATCAGAAGCAGATTCAAAATTTAAAAGTACATGTGAGATTTTAGTTTGCTCTTTTTAAGAATTAGATGTTCTAAATTAATAATTACACATATTAAATAGATTTCTTTAGACAAGTACAATATTTAGTTCAGATCAAAATTATTGAGTTCATAGAATTTGTAATTTACACACTAAATCCACCCCCGACAATGATCAACCAAAATCTTAAAGCAAAATTGTTATTTTTACGAATAGTAGTGATTATTCTCAAAGATAAAACTGACTCTATTTTCTTCGTACCGAATATATTCTTACTCTATTTTAATAAGTAAAAAACAAAGAAGTTTAGGTGAAACAAGAAGTTATAGAAAAATCAAAGTTGTTAGCTCATGCTTATAAGATTGAAAAGTGAGAAATTTTATCAAGTATAATTGTAAATTTACAAAGTAAGCAGTTAAAGAAACACTTTATTCATGATGGTTCTTCTTGTTTTCTAAAGGACGTAATTAATCTTGATTTTTCAATATTAATTCTCACCATCAGTTCATATTATATGGTGTTTTATGTAAAAACAGTGTCTTTCTTTGGAATTATATACTTAAAGTAGTTGTCCACGTACAAAATAATTGTCCATAAACACCATAACAAAATGGTATTATATATATTTGCTTTTAGGGCGTATCTCCTTTGATCCTCTTCAGTTTCTATATTTTGTACTGAATTGTCCTTTTTTTTTGTATTTCTTGATTCATTTAATCAGATTCTTCTGAGCTGATTGAAAATTCTTCATAGATGTCATCATTTTTTTATTGACGTTATAGATTCTAGATCTGAATCAATTTCTTGTCTATCAATTTTTGATATTTTAACTCTTTTTTTGTTACATTCGTAACTTTTGTGTCCTTCTTCGCCATGTTGTAGCATTTACATTATATATTAAAAAAAAGCGTCATGCATATTTTTAAAGTAATAATAAAGTTTCAAAGTTCAATTCCAAATTTGCCCCTTTTGCTATATAATACAGTAATACTCCTTCCGTTTCAAAAAGAATGACCTCCTTTTTTTAGTCTGTTTCAAAAAGGATGAGCTCTTTCTTTTTCTTGGTAATATTTTAATTTCAGTTTTCCACGTGACATGTTTAAGGCCACAAGATTAAAGGGCAATTTTGTACATTTGACATAACTTTATTTTAGGACCACAAGATTCAAAAGTCTTCTTTATTTTCTTAAATTTCATGTCAAGTCAAACTAGGTCATTCTTTGTGAAACGGAGGGAGTACTACATATACAATAAGATAGAATTAATAGTGCAAGATTGTTTTAGTAATATTAAGGTAGTTCCTTGTTGAGGTCACTTTATGACTTTACTGTATTGAATTCAACAAATATTGGATAATTCTTTCTATTTATAGTAATTAAAATTAAATATATGATTTCAGCAACACATTGGATGGGATTTTGTCAAGTTCCAAAATCAATCCATGTAGAAGATAGTGAGGTCAAACTTCAATTTGATAAATTTTTAACCCAACACTTGGCAACATAAAACAAAAACAAGTTTTATTTTCATATTAATATTAAAATCAAATTAATATGTTTAAACTTTACTTAAATCAAAATGAATTAGATAACGACTCATAATCTAGTTCATCTAATATGATCCAACTCAATTTTTCTATTAATTAGACTATTCAGCCTTTACTTTTATCTTCCATGATATTATTCTTTTTTCAATAAATACTCTCTATCAATTCTAAGGATTAAATGATTTTAAAAAATCTAATTAATTCCTTGTTGATTTTCTAAAACAACAAAATATTTTGAATAACTATTTTTAGTAAGTATAACAAATAATTACACTCACCTAAGAAAAAGAGGTTCAA